CAATATCTAAAAAATTCTATCTATAGACAACAATATTCCAATCACTGTAGATTACTAAAAAATTAAGTTTCAATTCCTTTTTGACCCTTAGGTACATAATTAAGCATTAGTACTCATTCACACTTTTAATCCTTTCAATTTTATATTAATCTGTACAAAAATTTAAACATTTTTGAATGATACAGATATCTTCTTTAACTTTTGAAGCATTAATTCCCAAATAAAAATCAAGAAAATTGCTCAGGATCCAAAGGGTTAATCATCCTGATGGATCCTCTCTCTCTCCCAAGAAAGGAGCTTAAATAGCTATGCAAGTGTGAATAGTGTATTTTCCATTACTCAAAGCATATTCAGTGGAAATTCATAGATAACATCAACGTCTGAAATCAATGGTATCATTGGAAGGTTCGAGTTCGAATCCCCTTTGATCACCCTAATGGATTCCTCTTGGCTAAAAAGGAAACTTCATTGGTCGATCGTGCGACAGAGACTTGCGTGGTGGTATCGAGGTTAAACACCAACCAATTGTGCATCCATAAGCATGGGTAATATCGGAGTAATTTGCATATCATGGCGGTGATAGGGGCGCCAGGTTGTTGTGTCGCTCGGTCGGCCGTTATCTTTCTGTCACGAATAGAATTTTAACTGGTTCCGGCAATTGCATACGAATGAACGATGTGTGATCTGTGTATATAAATTGCAACGCTGTGATATCATTACGTGTATCGAACGGGTGAGGGAGGAAGCGAGTGTATTGATGCAGAATCGGTTGGAAAGTGACGATCTTAATTTTCCTGGCGGAAAATTAGGGCTCGTTAGTGTTCGAGTTTCAGATCGAGTAGCGTGTCGAAGGAGTATCCCTTCTCTCTCTGATTCTGTTTCTGTAGTTTTCTCTCTTTCTCTCTATCTGAATCACTCTTTCTCTTTCTCTCTATCTCTGGCTATCCTCCCCTGTTAAACGACACATTTCAATGTCAACATATTCCTCTCCTCTGTCTCTCCCCCCCGTTGTCTCTCCTGTCTCTCCTTCACGTTGTGTCTCCTGTCTTTCCCTCATGTTGTGTCTCCCTCACGTTGTGTCTCCTGTCTCTCTCTCATGTTGTCTCTCCTCTTTCTCTGTCACGTTGTCTCTCCCTTCTTCTTTCTATATTTTATTATCACCTTGACTCTTCTCTCTGATTCTCTCCCTCTCTCTATTTCTCCGATTCAATAGCAAGCATTAAACGAACAATTCGACGATGTGTAGCGAGCAGAATAACTCCCACGCAGAGGAATATCGAGAAACGATAAGTCCCGAGACTATGGAGTTCGACAGGCCACAATTGGAATGCAATCGTCGTGTGGAAACTGTCAATGTGTTTCACGTGAAAGGACGTCTGTCAACTAATTGCCCAACTCTCCGTTGGTCGCGTGGAACAAGTGTATACGGGGTGTCTTGTGTCTATAATTAAACGGAGCTATATCTTCAAAAAACGATTAGATATGATAGAAAATTTCAGAAGGTATGTCTTCATTGTAAAACATCTTTTAACATCTTCAAAAATAAAAATTATTTATCCTTAAAAGAACAAAGTTCCAATCGTTATCGAAGTTCCCTGTTTACCCCGGTATTTTATATACAAAAACCGGCATTTATAATGAGCGAAGAAGAGCGAAACTGGGTTAGAATAGCGGAACAGAGTTGGACACCGAACAATATCAATTCCTGCCGGTGTATTATCGTCGAAAAGATATTCTGGAGAACTTCGAAGGCCTCCTAACTTCACCCTATTGAACAGCTACCGTCTCGACAGCTCGGGTGTCGCTAAAAAATGAACAATCCCGGTCGATAAATATTTGCCCGCGGTACCTGTACCCGTCAGAAGTTAATCGAGGAGATTTTCGCTTGAAAAATACTAATATTTGCCTGTGAAAGTTGAGCTTTATACACTGATAGCCTGTGCAATCTTATCGTTCACTCGTAATCAAATTTTCATGAATTACAGGGAAACTTTTGTAGACGCAACAACCACTTTCTCTCGAGTTCAATATTTTTCTCGACTCTTTTCGAGAATAAAACTTACCGTTTCTATTCAAATTTCTTCAATTTTTAATTTTATTTTTTCGTACTTTTCGTAGTTTATTGTAGATACATTTATTTCTTTTCCTATTTTTTTCTGCCTTTTCGTTCTCTCGAATCGTGTTTTTTTTATTATTTTGAATATATGCGGTGTATTTTTGTCGATTTATATCTGTAAACAAATAAATAAATAAATAAATCAAAATTTGACGAATAAATCGATATATTGTTTCAACCGAAATATTTTCGAGGTTACGTTTTTATTTTTGTCACATACCGTCTGTTTTATGGATATTGATATAATGATTGTAACAGTGATTGATGATTTCAAAGATGGACGAAGATAAAAAATAAATGTGTCACGATGTTTCAAAATTACGCAGGTGCAGTACTGTTGACACGATTCGCTATCGATTAGATATCAAAATACTAATTAGACACTCGAGAAAATTGATTCTTCAGATTAGTGGTTTGTATTAACGATGACTTGAGAATTTTTTCCATTTACACCGTTGCATAACGATGCAATTTAATCGTTCAAAATTATTCAGTAATTCTAAACCATTTTTCCTTATCATTAAATTGTCGTTAAATTCATTTTTCTAAAATATCGTAATGTCAATGACACTTTAATTCAATTTTATTTGATTAACATCAAATTAAGATTATAAAAAATCATAGATCTTTTTTTTTAAATAACCTACAAATTTGTTAATATTTTCAAAAAATTCCCTCGTAAAAAGCATAATTTACAAACCATAGTTTTTTTTTTTTAACACTGTCACAAAAGGTTAGAGTCATCATTTCTATGCAAATTTACCTAATCCAACATCAAACAGTACTCCATAGAACTATTAAACGGAAATAGATCACATTTCCCATGATATGACGCAATGCAATGCAAATTTCAGTACCACGAGCCACGTGGATCCAGCAAACACGTCAAACCTGGTGATTACAGTCACATATCAGGGATTTATGTGTGCTGTGTTAACGTCATAGTCGATATTTCGTAGTAAAAAGGACCACTCCCTCTGGATGACGAATTGAACGATGAACGAGGTTTTGCAATTGTACAAATTCTCATTGTTTGAGTAAAAAAGTGAACTAGACGTGACACTGGGATAAAGAAAAATTATTTTATATTTATTTGATAATTAAATTAAAATCTGAAATAAATATTAATATTTCGGAAGAAATTTTACAAATTTTAATCTTAAAAATTATCTGATTATATTTTACGTAATTGTGAGTTTCCATGAATTATCGAATCGCACATTTGGCATAAAGAGGACGATTTTACAACGTCGATATTTTTTTGTCGATGAAAATAAGAACGTCAATTGAAATTTATTACCAATAAGAATTGATGTTCGTTGGTGTTGGGTCGATTTATTAGATGGATAGTAATAAGAAACGATTAATGACGTGATTGGTTGAGCGTGAATTGCGAGAGTTGTTTTATATAACCTCTTAACCGAGTGTGGCGTATGGATTTAAAAAGGAGTTAAATGAATATAATTGGATAATGCTCGGTGTTCTGTTCGTTGAGTCGTAATATTTTTAACTTGAATAGAAATAATTCACGATTTTTATTTAACGGAAGTAAACACGAGATATAAAAAATTTAATTTTCATGCAATAACCATATTTCGTTTCGTGTTATTCGTGGAAATTTCGAACAAATTTTCGTCGACGCTTTCAACCACGAAACAGTAATTAAAACGAGAAAAAACAAGTAATTCGGGTTTTCAGCTCGATAATTTCGTGTTTTTAAAAGTCGCGTGATAGCTGTATCGTAAAAGGTGATTAACAAGATTCAAACAACCATTCACGAGCGGTTCGTAAACGTATGCATTTCATTCGTCCTTAAAAAAACTTTATTATCCGCGGCACGCATGCGTAGTAATGTATTCAACACTGACACCGCTAATAAATTTACCGCGTTAACAAAAAATCTCACTTAACCTGTCATACATGTTATGAGTAATAATATCTACAAAAACTTGAATATTATTACAATTACAGGATAGTATATGTATATCTTAAAAAGGGAATCTTTAGCGCAATTAATTCATTTTTGGATGTCGAGAAAAAAAGAGAAAAAAATATGGAAAGAAAGTAAAAAGAAGATCAAAGGATAACAGCAGAGACTCAAACGCTTGCCTACGCCAATGCCGCACATTAAACTTATATAGGCGGTATCGCAATGTTTACCTTCTGTTGAGAATGGAGAGGGAACGAGAAGCTTGGTTGTTGAGTTAAGCGGCATCGTTAAAGCAGTCATACACCGACACCCGAGCAGGCCTGGTCTCGCAATTTTCCCATCCATATTTTCTTCTGTTCTCCTGATTATACAAAAATCATTACTCACCTATACTTTCCCCAACCATCTACGAAACCTCAAATCACATACCAAAACCAAATTCAAAGATAGTTCTCATTAATTATTCCTATTTCACGATCTTCTAAAAGAGAACTCGTTAAAACATTCCAAAAGTGACAAACCTAACATATGTACCAAAATCGAGACTAAAAATCGCAGATTACTCTCTACCGACGATCGCGAAAAGAATCCAGCGTAAACCAGAACGATTCTGTACTAGAAATAACGCTTCTTTCGCTCGCGTAATTCCTTTGTTTCCGTCGCAGTTCGCAACGCGTTTCATCCACACCTTTTCAATTGTGATGGTGACACCAGAGTGGTACAATTGTAATAGAACTGTGGTACAATAGGGTGAGCGGCCTCGAAAGGAACAAACGAAAAGGTGCGCGATTGCAAAATGTATCTGGCCAAGTATCGAAGACGAATCGTGGCTACGAACCACGTGCACACGTGACCGGAATCGTTTTGATGACTCAGTGACACTAAGTGCCCTGGCAATTCGCGTTTGAGCTGTCGGTTTAACGTAACCAGTGGTTTGTAAGAGCAGATGTTTGGTTTGTGTTCGGCTAGCAGCCAAGCTGGCTAGTTGCAGCTTCGACTTTGATCGGTGTGTACAATCTGAACCTTGGTTTTCCCGCTCGAAACCGTTACTGAACGTTGTCACGCGATCCGAGAATATTTCTCGGCTTGAAACGATCGATTTTTACCAGGAATAGCGTACGATTTAGAAACATCGGTGCAATTCGCTTTATGTTTTTCGTGGTGCTGTTGCGTGTAGTGATTTGTGGGAATTTGATGGCGACGTGTGAAAGTATGACGTAGAATGGTGTAAACGAGTTCGTATATTTTCCGTGTCGAGATCTTCGTTTTTTTTTTAAGTGACTTTCGATGTTGTATGCTTTAATCCCAAGCAGATAGTGGTAATTAGTGTTATCTCGGGAATTTCTGTTATGAGTTGTTTACTCTTTACGATATTAAAGTTGTGAAAAATTTGTAGTTCCTGTGAAAATTGAAAGAATTCCGATTGATGTTCGGTTCAACTCATGACGTTAACAATTTATTATACAGGAAGAAGGGAGAATGAAAATGATTAACTAAGTGAAGTGCGTTTCATTTCTCGATTGATATCGAATCTTTAATACCATCGATCGAGTACGAGTGCTGTTTTAAGACTCCTAAAGGAGACTTGTTAGTATTATTACCATTATTATACAATGAATATTCATCAATATACCACAGTGAAAGGTACCAGTTTAAAGCTAACTTCGTAAAATAACAGCTTGAACGTCGAGGCTGACAGATGCTTTTTCGATAAATCGAACTTCGATTTATCTTATTTACATTCCAGTGTTATCGCGAATAAATTACTGCCCGGGGCATAATTTTTTTCTAAATTACAAGAAAATTACCAAGAAAGAAAAATTAATTATAAGAATTTTCTAACCAAGCAACATTGAAGAAACTTCGCTGAAGTAAGTTTCGAAGCAAGAAACATCGAATACACGGTGAAAACAATTTCACCAAGAAGCATTGCAACATCTCGAAGATAAACTTTCTCTGAATCCGCCCACCTGGTATCGAGCCAGAAAGACCTTAACGATGATCGCAACTTCGATATCAGCGATCTTGAACAGGAGAAATTCACGGAGCTACGGGGAGGCGTATCAATTAACCACATGTTTGCGTGCAGACACCGGAAGGGAACGTTTATTAGTCACGTAACAGGTTAAGAAAGCGGCAAACCGAGCGGTATTCAACAGTCATTCTTGAATATTCTTTTTCAGTATGAGGAAGGTGGAAACAATGAAATCGAAACAGGATCAGAAACACGTGGCCATGGAAACCAGCGAGACTGATTCTTCGGGGAACATTGGTAAAAAGCAATCGTCGAAAATCGTGGACCCGGAGGTAGTAGCTGTTCCACGAACCGGAATTACATTTTTAAGACGCGACAAGGTGAGTGATATAACTGAATCAACGATCGAAAATTCGTCCTCGAAATCATCCTCGAAATTCGTCAGACTTGCTCACAACGAAGAAATCCACGAGAATAAATGGAAGAAATTTTGGGACCATCATAGAGACAAATTCAGGCACAAGTCGGAGGATGATATCTCGACGAAGAGTCGATCTTTCGAGGAGGTTGCAACAGAGGTGGACGCTTTGTCCCGAAAGGCGATCAAAAGTATCCGTTTCGATCGTTCGGAAAACTCGGATCGTTTATCGAGTACAGAGGAGGGTTCACGGGAGAAAGGTAGAAATAACAGCCCAGAAATGTCGATCGAGGCGCCTCCTCGTAGATCGAAGCTGCTGCTCACTGCCCGTTCGAAGGACAGAAAATACTTGGAAGCTATGGCGAACGATGAAGGTACGTTTAAAAAAAATCTTGAAGGAGATATTCCAACGTTTGTTACAATTCCCAGAGAGAATAAGGAGAAAGGAGAGGAGAATGCTTCGATTCTATGCGACGTTTCGGAGAGCAGTTTCTACGTTGGAATCAGCGACAAAGAGAAGGATAGATTGCATGAGAAGATTAGAAGCGATCCGTCGACGAGAAGATGGAGTTCGCTTGAAAATCTGCACGGCAAAGTGGAGAAGGTTAAGGAAGTTTCGCCTAGAGGAAGGATAGATGGTTTGTCGATCGAAAGACCGGTTCGTGGTAAAGAGAAAAGGACGATCGGTTCTCTGAGGTCCTCGCTGGAGAGGAAGATAGGCTCTGTAGAGAGGATACTGGAGTATCAGATAGAGAAGCTTTGCGAGGAGAACGTAGAGAAGCATCCATGGTTGTTGCCTATTGAAAGTTGGATCGCTGAGCGTCGTAGGCACAGTGGAACGTATTCTGTTCTCCAGGACAAGCAGAACGATGACGGTCGAGAGGCGGAGGAAAGGAAATTGGTGGAAAAGGAAAGGGCGGAGCCGAGTTTCGACTTCAAATTTACCGCCGCGGAGAACGACGAGCCGAGGGTGGAGTGCAGGCTGGAACATTTGAAGAGGCCGGAACGATTCGAGGGTGTGAATTTGATTTCGAAGCTGAAGAGGTCGGAGCAATCGAGGGCAGAGGATGAGGAGAGCCTTTTAGAGATGAAGGACGTGAAGCACCATGATCTGTTCGATAAGCTGAGGGATAATGTTAAGGAGAAGATGGAGGATATCCATAGGGTAGATTTGAGTGTTTTATTGTTGGATAGTTTTATTATATATTCGATTGAATTGTCGGCGTTCTTCTTGATTGACACTTAATACGAACCTTTAGATTTTTCGAATTTTTCTGTTACGATTTTTTTTTATCGTTTCATTTATACCACATTTTCTATTTCTTATATTTGATTAGGTTTCTTTGCTTTTGTTAAGTACTGTAACGTGTATTTAAACTTCAAGATTACTTGTGTTACTAAGCACTGTATGTATATGCATTGAAACCGCAACTCGTGTCGTGATAACTACTATCGATAATAGATGTTGATTCATGTTTGCAGATCAAACGAAAATAGAATAATACAAGTTTTTGAAATATCTCGAAGTCGTTCAGTCTCGCCTCTTATCTTTCTCTTACGAGTTTCCTTGAAAAATCTACGAATCACTTTGTACCATTTCTCGACAAATAAAATACCGAAGTCCAATACTCGTGAAATTCAAGATAAGCTTTAATCGATTTACGTTACATCAAGTCGATTGGTCGAGCAAATCGAAAACTAATATCGAGGGGGGGATTTCCCCCCGATACACTTGTCGTATCTAGTGTTCTGTAAAATTCTTGTCCTCGACCGTGAATCTATTTTCCTTATTTTTTTTTTTTTAATTTTTATCGAAATCGATAGACAACTCCATTTCACGTGGCGTATTTTTACATTTGCAGTATTTCCAAAGGACCAATCGATTGGCAGACGTAAATAGACGGCTGAAGTCGCAAATATGGAGCTCCGTGGTAACGATTGTTCTCGTCGAAGCGAAGAATCTATTGCCGATGGATATAGACGGTCTCTCCGATCCCTATGTCAAGTTTCGGTACGAATACCATTATTCCTGGCCCCTTTGTCTTTGTCGCCAGCTTTATCATTAAAATCACCCTGCTCTTTACTCTATTCTTGTCTCTGTTCTATAGTCGCTTCGTTGTGAAACATTTTTGCTCAGTAAATCAAACAAGATACCTAAGTTTTTTTTCAATATTCTACTTAACAAATTTAATATTGTTTTTATCATTTTTTTTTTATTACTTATAACATTGTATTGACTTTTCTTATCATTCAACAGTTGTGTAAAATACCTAATTTTTTTTTTAAATATTTTATTTACAAACCTAATATTTGGTTTTAATATTATCCGTGTTACTTGTATGTTTACATTCACTTTTCTCAGAATTCAATTACCTTTATTGACATTCTTGCAATTAAAAAGAGTAGATAATTATATCAAGTGTCTTACCACTTGGATCAATTAGTTACTCTTCAGATCAGTTAACTTAGTTGCTCAGTGAACTACTCATCACTTTAGTCTTTTCCACTCAGAGTATTTTTTGATACTTTTGAAAACTGAAAGTTTTGTTTTGAAAAGAAAAGAATTATAAAATAGTTTCATTAATTTGAATAATTTCTGCCTTCTTCAGTCTTGGAACAGAGAAGTACAAGTCAAAAGTGGTACACAAGACCCTGAACCCAGTATGGTTGGAGCAGTTCGACCTTCACCTGTACGAGGATCCGTATCTGGGCCAGGAACTGGAGGTTACTGTGTGGGATCGCGACAAAAGCCATCAGGATGATCTAATGGGAAAGACTGTAATCAATCTGGCAGTCCTCGAACGTGAGACGACCCATCGCCTCTGGCGAGACCTCGAGGATGGCTCTGGGAACATTTTCCTATTGCTAACCATTAGCGGCACCACCGCGAACGAAACAATCAGCGATTTGGCTGCTCATGAGGAAACGCCTCATGAACATATACAGTTGTATCAAAGATATTCGTTAATGAACACGTTGCAGAGGGTACGCGACGTTGGCCATTTAACTGTGAAGGTACGCATCCATTTTTGAGATGTAGAGGAAGAAATACAGGATGAAAAAAATTTTTATTTTGAAAATTAAACAGATGTGAGGTCATCACCCTTTCAAAGTAATTCCCTTGAGACTGTCTTTTTCATAGTACTCAGTTGTTTTTCTTTTAAAACCTTGAATGTAATTTTTTAAAGTTTAAGATTGCAAATTTAAGATAAACTGCTGTCATAAAAATTTTACACAGCTTTTATAGTTTCCTCATAAGGTTCATAAAATGTGTTTTACTGGTATTGTAGGTATTCAAAGCTCAAGGTCTCGCTGCAGCTGATTTGGGTGGGAAGAGCGACCCGTTCTGTGTCCTAGAATTAGTGAACGCTAGATTGCAGACCCAGACGGAATATAAAACACTGGCGCCGAGCTGGCAGAAAATATTCACCTTGTAAGTCAAAGTAATCACATGAAAAATTTAAGAGAATATTAAAGTCATTATTCAACATTGTGACGTCTTCTTTTCTTCAGCAACGTGAAGGATATCAATTCGGTGTTAGAAGTGACTGTGTATGACGAGGACAGGGACCATAAAGTAGAGTTTCTTGGGAAGGTGGCCATACCCCTGTTGAAGATAAGAAACGGCGAGAGACGATGGTACGCGTTGAAAGACAAGAAGCTGAGGGGTCGAGCGAAAGGCAATTCACCTCAAATTCTCCTCGAGTTGAACGTGGTGTGGAACATGGTCAGAGCGTGTATTCGAACGTTAAATCCAAGAGAGAAGAAGTACATGGAGCCAGAGCTCAAGTTTAAACGACAGGTGTTTCTGCGTAACGTTCTCAGGCTGAAAGCGATCATCATTATCGTGATCGACATTGGAAAATACGTGCAGTATGTAGCGTTCGATTCTGCTGTCGATATTAAGAATAGTCGTGACGTTCGTTAACGTAAATTGCATAGTGTATGTTCAGTCATACACTAAATTCCGTTCGTGACACGTCGTTTGTGCCAAAGCGATGATTAATAACGATTGCACTGCGTTTCTTGGAACGCCGTGGTTGCAGACCGTTCGTGCAATTGTACATAATTGAACGATGATTTATGTATTCTATCGCGTTTTCATTTTATTGGAAATTTTATGGAGTTCGTTTGATATTCAATGGTGACTAAATAATGAATTTATGTTTGTTCTGTTTAATTATGTTATCAGGAGCTGCTGGGAATGGGAGAACAAAATGAGAAGCATCATAGCGTTGGTCATTTTTATTTTCGGCTGCTACTATTTTGAGCCCTACATGTTTCCTGGAGCAGCACTTCTTATTCTGTTGAAGTATTATCTGGTAAACAAGATAATCAAATTCGAAGTAACTTCTCACACTGTACCTTGTTAAATTATTGCTACACTTGTCACCAACCTTATGAATTACTTCTAACACATTCACATGTAACTGCACATATTCCTTGTACAGTGACCTTATTTATCTGATAATCTATTAACTTATTCACTAACCTTCAATGCTTGTAAAAGATGTATAATATTACTAACATCTAAATCCTTTTTTAACATTTACAACATTTAACTCTGTAGACTAAAAAATTTCCATACGCCTTCCAATAAGGTAGACCTGTGCATTGGTTAAACTTATCACTGCTATTAGTGCTACTTACTAGAGATTAGTATCTTCCTACTCGAGCTAAATGAAATTAAAGTCGCAGAGGTACGTGATCAGCATGGGCGTAGTTTAGTCGAGCCAAGCATAAAATTGAATATATAGTTTCAGATTTTGTCTTGAATCTTTATTAAAAATTATGCTTGTAAATTTTTAAATACTAAATCACCTTGCAACAGTCTAGAACAATTATTCTTTCACTTATAGTATTTCATATTTTACTGCTCACTATTATTAAGTCTCCGCAATGCCTGATTATGAATAATAAGTGCCAATAAATTTTACAATACCGAACGACCCTGTAATAATTTAGAACAATTTTTCTTTCACTTAGAGTACTTCATATTTCACTTCTCAGTGCTTAAGCCTCCTCAGTGCTTGCTTATGAATAATAAATGTCAATAATTGATTAGCTCTGGACACATGTAATGTAATAAGTATGTAAGTTAAATGCTTGACGACCTTTACCTGCTTTGCTGCATGTCCACATCCTTTGCTACCTGCCAGCTTTATGGAGATGGGAGTGGACTCAATCAATGGGTTTCCGGACAGGTCGCCGTTCTAACAGGCACGCCCTTGTCCCATCATTCAAGTACCCACTTCCACGATGAGGGTGACGATGGCCCTGCCACGCCTGGAGACGACGATGATGACGAAGATGATAAAGATAAAGTAAGTATCGTTCACAGGTATCATTTTATCACCTTTAATGGATTGTTGGAAAATTGTATTTTTTGAAATGATTGTTACTAATGTTATAAATATAGAAAAAAATGTTATATAGTTTAGTCTGAATATTGAGGAGAGTTTGTTAGTAAATTGACAGTACACAATTCTCTAAATTATTTTATGACTTTATGATCTCATAATTGTAAAGTGCATAATTAAATTATTCTGCAAATTATTCAATTATTGCTACTATTCTTCTGCAATGTATAATAAGAAATGTATAATAAATGTCCAACTACCAACGACCAAAGTTTCCTTTCAATAAATATTACATTTGGACACATGTCACGCTCAACAGCGATATATTTTCGTTCGACACTTTTCTCTGTTCACCTTTCGACCTATTCAAATGAATTGATGTGTGCCGATATTGGTCGAGCCGAGGTCACTCTATTAAATATTAACTCTCGTTGCTCGTACCATCGCCTTTCATTCTTGAGAAGAATAACAAAAAGGCAAAAATATTCATCTCCATAAATCAAACAAATTTAAAAACTTTGTTCTTTGTCTAAAATAAATTTTGTTCCTTTTCTTTTTCAGGAAGAGAAAAAGAGCCTGAAGGAGAAATTGCAAGCGATTCAAGAGGTGACCCAGATCGTTCAGAATTCAATCGGCTACATAGCCAGCCTCTGTGAGAGGGTGAAAAATCTCTTCAATTTCACTGTCCCTTATTTGAGTTACTTAGCGATGATCCTGACGATCCTCGGGGTCGCAGTACTCTATTTCGTACCCCTAAGATACCTAATACTGGTGTGGGGCGTCAATAAATTCTTCAGAAAGATCATTCGGCCTCACTCGGTTCCAAACAACGAGCTTCTTGATCTCATATCTAGAGTACCCGACGACGAGGAACTTATTAATTATAGGTACACTTGATATATCTGTAAAAGCAGAGTATATATATCTACATACTGCACTGTTTATTGGAAATACAGTATCGAGAATGGTCGCTAATAGATCCATGAATTTTTTAAGACGAATATGGTATAGATAGAAAGGTTTCATGCCTTATCATTGACTATTACTTGTCCCAGAACTATTCTTATTCTGACAAAAAGCTACAAGAAAAAATCTGTTCACTTAAAGTGTGTAACACTTAAGTGATATTTTATAGAAAATAATTGATAGAGGTATAGCTTAAATCAAAATCTTTTCAAAAATTTACACGTCTGCTGTTCACTCTATTGTATAATTTCAATGAAGAGTAAAAGATGACCAAAGAAAGGTTCATTTCCACCCCAGTAATTGTATAAGGCTGAGTTGTTATTGTTTTATTCTTTAGGGAGTTGAAACCCTTACCGACTGCTGACTGCGAGAAGGCGAGCACCTCAAGCAGTCCTGGTTCCTCGAATATGACGCGCAGGGAGCAGAGGAAGAGGCACAAGGCCGCGTAGCAGCATGCCCCGCGGCCGGAAGTCGCGGGTCTACGATCACCGAGCATCCTGAGGACGGTTCTGCTGCGCCGAAAAACGCGCAAGCGCAAAGGATCAACGGAGAATCCGGATGTGATCGACATAGACTGAGAAACGAGTTTCGTTTCCACTCGTAGTTCATTTTAGCCAGGGAGATTTTCGTGTTCTCTAGATTACAAGTTTATCTGACAGATTGCGTGGTATGTCTTCGAAGTCTGAACTATTTTCTTTTGTCTTCATATTATTGAGAGAAATAGATAGGATAAATAGAGAAAGAAAAATAGAGATCAATCAGATGGTCGAGTTCATTGGGGGAAAAAAGTTGTAATTATAATTCTTGGAAGTGATTTTCATGTTTTTATAGTGTAATTATATTCATCATCAACGTCTCCGGGGCATACCACGCTAAATTGTTACTAGTTCTTCCGATTCGATAGTTCAAGGCAGAAGTCGACGCAGAATAATTGTAACGAAGAAAAAGAAAACGTTGTTTTTCATTTAGATAGTATATCTTGGAACGTAAACATGTGGTATAGATACACGTAATTGTATTGATTGACTCGGCTGATGGTGTTTGTGAGTCTGTGTAAATCGTCGACGGGGAAAGTCAAAATTTATTTCATCATAAATCGACTGCATTTGAAATTCTGTTCCAATGATGTAGCATTTCCTTCCTGGAAACCTCTGTTGTCTCATAAATTCTTACGCAACGAGTTTATAGAAGAGATAAGCGTATGTGGATAACACCAGGAAGACAAATAAACTGTAATATACCACGTTTGACTTCCCCGTTCGAGAGTAAAAAGAAAGACGCGAATAGACGAAAACTTTTTTGAAAGTATCCCGTTCGAACGGGAGAACCGCGTTTCGAGCATATCAAAAAGCCATAAGCGAGGAACGTGCGTTCACGCGTAGCGGTGCATTTAGCTAACAATTATCGACGGAGAAGAGATACCATAGTTATTTAAAGAAGCAAAGGGAGAAAAAGAGATAAACGCGAGAATAATTCCCGCCTACGGGTATATCCTCGTCGATCCGTTTCGTCCATCGGTGTCGTAGATGTAGCTGCTACAGAATCGTTAACGAAGGATTGGGAGATGTTAAGAAAAGAATTTAACATAAGAAAACCAAATGAAAAATGTAAAAAAAAAAGAAATGAAAGAAAAAGACAAATATAGTATTGTTCCATGAACAGTCTTGTCGACGAACAGTTCGTTCGATGAGCTGTTTTTTTCATTTCAAGAACGACGAATACTCGCCATTTTGACATTTATAATGTTTAAACTATTATTCCTCTAAAAAAAAAACAAGAAAAGAAAGAAAAAATTATAATTCTATTGATATAATCGTTTTATTCAATCTTCTCGTACTACCTCGTGCTGTAATGCCGCATTATTAAAAACCGACGATTACATAATTTTTCCACATTGAAATCGTGTTTTTATTCGTCGTTCGTGAAATCAGATATTATTTAGTCTTACTTGCTCGGGACATTTCGATGTGTCTCAACGTTATTCTCTTTGAATAGTATTTAATATTATCGAATTCTTCGTTCCAACGCACACTTTCACGCGTTAATACCCCTTCTCGAGCATGACTGTCATTGATGAAACAATTAGGAACGAGCATTTTTATACACGAAGTACATAACCTTCATAAAACAAGTTCAGTCGGTTTTACTACAATTTTTACAGTTAAAGGGGAACATATCACGTTAAATAAAAATTGAAGGAGTAATCAATTTCTCATGGAATTCCCTCGACATTATTAGATTTAACGCATTTCCTTAGCACCGACAATGGAAATTAGAGAAGAAACCGTGGAAGTGGTTGTTCGTGCGTAAAGATGCTCGAAAGAAACCAGAGAAACAGCACTATGGAAGGGGGCAAAAAATTTCTCCGATGGGATTATATTACTATTTTTATAACAATAATGGTTGTCCTCTCCTTGCGACAATAGTTGTTCTACGATTAGATAACGTTCCAGCCTGGCTCCGTACACTTTCTTCATTGTGAATATTACGTTGTTTTTTGCCCATCGTGATATTGTGTAATTCACTGTTCTCTCGTAAAAACCACGTTACTTCCGTATATTTTATTACCGTTTCCGGATGGTTACGAGTTCACGTTGTTGTGAAAGCAATAATAGATTTGTAATAAGATACGAAAAATCGTATACGTTACTTGAAGATATAATTGTAAAATTGTGTCGCAATTCTTTGAAACATGCTGAAAAATTTGTTAACCTATACAACTTTCTTCCGCTGTATTTTTCGTCTAACGACTAGTATGATTAGTGGAACTTATAATACTATAATAACGATAAAAAATGTTCGGCTTTTTCAGTACGTTTCGAAGGGTGTCACTGCAATGGGATAATCGAGTAATTCGTTGAACGATAGCATTGTGAAACATTCAACATGCTCGTGGAGGGAAGTAACGCGCGGAATTTAATTATTCCTAACCGCAATTTTACGGTTCGTGCTAGCTGATGAGAAAGCTGAAAGAGGGAAGGAGAGATATCGCCGATCCATTTTTTCGCTTTTCTAACCTCGGGACTTCGCCACTTTTTCAAATTTTTCGCCATTGATCTTCTCGCTGTTTCTTGTATTCATATGATCGTACATGTCACGTGGTTTATGGCGCGCCATTAGTGTCACGAAAAAAAAATCTATCTTTCGAGGTGCATTTTCATGCGTATTTAACCCTTTGATGCGCTACATACATCATTCCTAACATTTTGGTTGGGTTTCCTGACAGAAGTTTGATTACATCTCTACAAAGATGAGTTAGAAGTAATTTTGAAATATGCATACACTTTTTTTCAACACCCTGTATACATGAATCAAATATTTCAGTGTAACTTACCGAATTTTCACAATCCAACACTTACTAGAACGTACTGTCTCTCATATTATTCCTGTCGTTAGATAACACGATTGGCCAGCCATGAAACCGTCGCCGAATCATAAGGCATTAACACGAAAGTACTTTTACCATAATTTAATCTCGGTCGAGGGAAACGAGACTGCAGCCGGAAGTAGTTCGCGCTTCAAAGGGTTCGAGTACAGTTATGTCGCTCTTTGTTCATCGCCGATTGCGGGCCTAAGTCGCGAGGCACATACACTGAACACTTGCACGTGAACACTGCGACGAGAGACGAGGGGAAAAAAAAAATTAGGGAGAAAGATAGGCGATTCCTTTTGTCATCTAGTCAACGAACTTTCTTAGTAAGTGAAAGAAACTTGTGATACCGCAAGTCGATTTCCTTGCGATTAGATGCATCGAGGAACGTGAAGCGTGTGTTTTAAAGTTTGATGGTTGTTTTTGTACAAATTGTTCATATTTTCGATTCATTAGAAAATGAACAATCAAAGAAGCAAAACTAATTGTTGGGTTTCAATGGTAATGTTAGTTTTGAGAACTTTAAATCACACTGCTGACTGGATGATTCCTTTTTTATAGTCATTCCTTGTGACATTCCTTTCGTTGAAATTGTACGGGTACATAGATCTAGTATACTTTCTGTTTTAACTTTAAAAAATTTTTAAACTCACTCGTAGATGTTTCAGTGACAATCCGAACAGTTTTCTTTTTTCAGGTTAAGGAAACTTTTTAGTTACAGTGTGGTATTAAATTTTTTATTCTTTTTAACATACTTGATGACAATGGTACCTATACAATTTTACTTTTCACACATTTAACTATATACACTCACGTTGAAGCGTTGGTTATAAATTTTCGGAAAAATTCTACGAAGCACTTGTAATCACAGCCACGACTATCAGGCATGGCGAATAATGGCGCGAATAATAACTATGAACACTGTGACTGGCGACGACCAACATAACAGCCGTGACTATTATAGTGATACCAACATAATGATCTGAATTGAAAGATACTTAAGGATTTGAATAAATTATTATCGTGCATGGTCACGTAACTATTATAGTATCTGTTAGAGCTAGGTAACCAATGCTTCCTTCAAAAACTTTTCACATTTTACACCGTCATTTTTCTACTCTTCCAATTTTATACTTCCAACTGTGTGTATAAAGTATTTCGAAGATTTTTTTCTCGAATTTCATCATCCTTGAAGCTCCATGCTGAAAAAGCTTCTTATCTAAATACATCACACCGTTTTCGATTGGTTTCTTTCGGGATTACACGCTGCAGTTGCTCGAGCGCATAACAGGGGCACGCAAAAGGACACGAACAGTCATACATTCACGCGTATACCACTATTCTCTCGCGCACACGCACTTTCGAGTTTGCATGCTCCAGTTTCTTCGTGTTATATGAATCTTCATTAAAGTGTTTTTAGCAGTTAAGAGGAAAGCACGAACGAACAAGTGAGCGAAAGAGAGAGAGAGGGGGAGAGAGTGAGAACTAGAGTGAGAGAGATAGAGAGGAAGGTCAGGACGAATTCGATTTCCACGAAATCATAGGAGGGCGTGTATATTTTTCCTGGATATTGTCCCCTGGACGAGTGTTCTTCAACTCATCCAAAAATGAATAATTTTATTCAAACCTATTTCTCATTGAATGTTAGAAGTTTTTATTGACTAGGAAAATTTGTTAACATAACCAACGAAGATCGTCCAATAATAAATTGTTGCAAATTTTTTAATTCTTTCTTTTTCAATTGCCATGGTAAAAGGGAGGTTTTCAATGGAAGAACACTGATCCAGATTCGACAGATCGACAACGCTCCGCACACGTCTGTCTACTTCCTAATCGATAGGGGAAACGAAGATTAACATAAGATATCTCTAGATAGTATTTAAAACGCAATTGTGATTCGATCGACGGATAAAATCGAGGTCGCTGCGATTTCGAGGTGAACGAGAGAAAGAAGTCACGTGTGAAGCGAAGAAGGTCCGGACCAAGTCCAGATCGGGTGATCTCGATCATACAAAAAGAAATAAGAAATAAAAAAAAAAGATGCAAAAGAAAGAAACAGAAGGCAGAAATTATGAAGAAACAAAGTATAAATATAAATATTAATATATATTAATACATACATACATATATATAAA